ATATATATATATATATATATATATATATATATTTCTAACCAAAGGGTCAGACAATTTTATTCATATGTTTTTGAGGCCGTTGAAACTGAATATGTAGCCCACGTAACTTCATCACATCATATTTTCACATAACCTAAAAAAATTGAAAACGTGTCTGCTTGGAGAGAAGGTTAGTGAACTGGCGCCAACAGTGTAGGCAATCTGCCGTACAACAACGTGATGAGAGGTGTCCCGTCAGGGGCGAATGCCACCTTCTCTATCAAATATAATTAGTCTGAATTAAAAAAATCTGCTGTGATGAAGTTAAATGGACTTCATATTCATTTTATCTGGCCCAAAAACATATAAGTAACATGTTCTGCACCATCGATTAGAAAATCTTTCATCTTTTATATTTTGGGGGTGATGTCTGATGTGATGGAGAACACTAGACACCGGATTCGGATTCAGCGACCCCAAAACATTCAGAAAACATGGTCTGATCCCCAGACACGACCACAAAATGTATTTTGTGTGGCTGTGTTATAAACTTGACTGAGTGTGATGGAGAATCTGGCGCACAGGCCTGTACTACTTTGGCATCCTGGACCCGCTGCTGGAGATGCTGGGGTTGGCGTGCCTGCGCCGCAGCCCGGGCGACTTCCCGGGGCTGGGGCGGCCGCGTCGGAGGCGCGCCCGCCACCACCACCCAGCCTCCTCCGAGGACCTGCCGAATTGCGTGCACTACCTCGTCATCGGTGGCGGCAGCGCGGGCATCGCCGCTGCACGCGCCATCCGCTCGGCGGACAAGGGCGCGCGCGTAAGAAAGCACACACACGCATACACACGCACACGCGCACGCGCACACATCGTCTCCCGTGAAGTTTCTCATGGATCAATAGAAACCTACGTAGCCGCTTCAGCAACATTGATCAGGTCAATTTTTGTTGTCATTAGTTGCGTAAGTGTGGTGCATGATTTTTATTACGGAAGGTGGCGGTGATTTGGCCCCGCTGGATGGTGGGATCCGGTGCCAACCTACACTGTACTTTTCCCAAACCATCTCCCACCAGCATGGACGGCCCCAGCCAGAACAAGCTATAAGCTCCTAACTGGTATACCGACGTAATGTAGTGTATTGCATGTATTTGTGTTTGTAAGTAAATAAGGGCGGTGGCAAAAGGATGAGAAAAATATCTCGCATCATCGTGGCACGTTTTTTAGGAAACTATTCCAGTATTTGTCGTGTTAAAGTCGAATTTGTCGAATTAAAGAAACAACGAATAACTACCTATAACATCAGCCGGACCTTAAAATTCTTCTACAGACAGAGACAAACCCCTACCATCGTTGGAACACTAACCCTAAGACATCCCGGTCAAAGGCACTGAAGTGTCATCATTATTCCTTGAGCCATATAAGCTGGTGCAGGAGGAGAAGGAGGCCCTGACGTTAGAATCCGTAAGTAGACGTTTTAGACATTAGCAACATAGTTAGGTCCAATCCTACCACATCTCTGCGGAATTCTAGGACCGGCTGCTCCCATCGCCCGTTTTTCGTACCTTCTCCGATCAATAACAGGCGATTGCCGGAGCAGTACCTTAATAAAAGGGCAACGAAACACGAGCGATCTTCCTTTTCTCTTGCTAGTTTTTTCTTCGCCCCCTTAAAACACACTCTCTCTTACCCACTTACATCCTCATAGACCAGACCTCACACGTCGGTAGACCAGTCGGATCCCTGCTGGAGTGATGCTCCGTTGAGGTACCTCGAAAGAGGAAGCTCACCACTTGGCCTTGACCGATGGACACACGTTCCAGTGGCGGAGGAACACCTCCACCTCCAGAGTTATGGAACCACTAATCAATGTAGTTGATATGTCGAGACACACTAAATTATCACTGAATTAAACTAAGTGTTCGAACCTAGCCAGAGTCATACTAACACTAGTATATAAATGGGCGAGGAGTTCCTCATCCTCATACGATCACATACGTTCTCAGTCGTGTCTAAAATGGTGGCTTAATACCATCATTGTAGTTACGGAAATACAAGTAAAATATTAAAAACAAGCATACATGCGTTCCTTTGAAGGGAAAAGCACTTATTTTCGCTGGTATAGGCCGTTCATGAATTGGGAGGTAAAAACATCTTTCGCTTGGCGTTCCATTTGAAATACGGAGACGTGGATGAAAAGAACAATGCGATCGGGGGAAAATGATCGCGCGCACGGTCTGTGGGTGATTTTTATCTCGCCGATCACGAGTGAACGTATTCGAGACGTCTGCCCAGGTTCATTTACTATATTGTTGGGAGACACGCAATGTTACACTTTTCTTGCGCGATGAACTAGTGTGCGCAAATATGATCACTTCCTTTCTATCCCTACCTTCTATCAGGAGACGAGCTTTTCATCCTGCACTCTTGCTTAAGGTGCTGATAGAGAAAGATCGTTTCATGCCGACACAAAAATCCGACACTAAATAAAATGTTAGGTTAATCAGAACATTATGTTTTATCATTTTTATAGATTTATTGGCATTTTACTATTGGCATTTTACTATTTGCATTTTAAATTCGTCGTAAATACATTCAGTTGTTTGCAAATTGTGTCAGACTACTTCATTGAGTCGGGTAAAAGGGCTCAAAACTAACTGTGATTTTGAGACCTTTGATTTCAGTTGGAGCTGGAGCTGAAATTGTTTTTTTGAACTGTGAATCCAAAACTGTGAAGAGCGTGTGCTTCGGACAGCTTCTAGGAGGCAGTCGTGTGTTCAGGTGCTGATCGTGGCTGGGGAAAACGCGTTCCCGTACCAGCGCACGCCGCTGTCCAAGGAGCTGTGGCAGGGCGGCGCGGGCGCCTGTTTCGTGGCAGCCGACGGCTCGCTCCGCAGCGTCTTCTACGAGCCAGAGAGCTTCTTCATTGACTGCAAGGTAGCACCACCTCCGCGGCGCCTTACGAAAACACAAAACACACGACGCAGTAATGCTATGCACATGGGGATAGAAATGTAATTATTATATCTCTCTAATAAAATATTAATGCCCAATAAAGCAAAAATCAATTTAAAAACGAGGGGTTCAATAACCAAAACAGACTAAGTTCATTTGGCTTGACTTTGAGCAATTGAGTTTCAAAGTTTTCAAGAAATAATATATGCCGGTTAAGTAATAAAATAAAAACACTTTATGCATGTATGAGAGCTAAAAACGTGATTCAGAATGGCAGAGAACAAAACATGTTATCCTTCACCATATAATGACATTTTTACAGGTTTCCTCAAAGGCGGATCAAGTCTGATATGTTAGTGAACCTCTCAAACGAAACAAACGTTAGAAATCATTCCCAAAGAGAAAATAAGTGGGTAGTTGTTATCTAGAATCACGTATTTACGTACGATATAATTACATACAATGTCATGATGAACGTAATTATTTCGTATAACCTGAAAGTCTCTCTTCCTTTTGTGCGTTATTGCAGAGGTTCGTCCCTTGTATAATTATTAAAGTTTTAGTGTTATTTTCGCATATCTTTCGTAACAAGGGGAACAACAATAGAAAAAAATTAGATAAACAAAGAGATAGTATTTCGGTTTCCTTCCAATCACACCTGCACAAACCTTTGCATACACTGTCAATTAAAATGAAGTATTTGTGACAGTGATGTAAAGTGAAGTAAAGTGTCTGCCAGCGCAAGCTTCACTTTGCAATGGGGAAGGTCGGGCATTAGCGTAGCTGGGTTCGGTGAGCGCTGAGCCGGGTGCGCGCGTGCCCTAGGCCATGGCGAAGGGCGCGCGCGGGGTGGCGGTCGCTCGCGGCTGGGAGGTGCACCGCCTCAAGCCCAGGGAGCACACGGCCATCCTGCACGACGGCCGCGCCATCCAGTACGAAAAGTGCCTCCTCGCCACGGGCTCCACGCCCTACCAAATCTCCGCTCTCGAATCGATCAAGGGAGACATGAGCAAGAGGGTAAGAGCGTCCTCTACTACGCAGCCCTTCATCGAAAAGAGGTAGATTTAAGGTTTCTAAAACATTTTGGTGAAACTTTCCTTTTTTTCGGAAAAAATCCTACGACTTCTAAAATTGTAACTTCTATAAGATAACGTTCATAACGGTGCTATGATAAGTTTTACAACCTTATCGCACTTATATACAGAAATAAAATGTTATAATAAATAAGTAATGAAATTCATCGCAAAGTGATAGTTCTAGAACAAGTTAAGTGTAGTTTTAGGTATACTTTATTCCACGCCAGATAAATTAGTTCAAGCTGCTACGATATGTCAACGCCAATATCGTTGCTTTTTCACAATTGTTCACCAGGTTCTGAGTTACGAGGTGGTAGATTTCGGTACATCTTGTGTCGAATTCAGCCACAAATTTCAGTAGTCGGTTACTCTCTCAGTTGTCCGTGATTTCTCCAACCAGTACCGAGAAAATACTGAAGCAGTACTCTAACAAACTGTCTCGGAACGCGCGCGATCCTATCTATAATTGATATCTCCTCTCCCTTTACACACACGCACCTTTACATGCACTACATATAAAATATGTCGGAAGAACAGTCGAGTTAAAGTTTGTTCCGGCTGTGGTGCAGCATTGCTGGGGCAGATGCCTTCAGAGAAAGAGCCCCCAAGACGATGTATAAGTCAGAGCGGAATCTCACATTTTAGCTGATGAACATCTTCCATTCAGGGAATATAAGAGGCACAACATGTACGAGACTAATGCCGTAAAGTAGTTTACGCTTCTGGCGGAATAATCACACACTCACCGCAAACCACTTTGTACGTCGTGTAAAGGCCTGTCAAGGTCGCGGGCAAGGTAACAAGCTTTCTAGAGCTTGCGGGCGTTGCATTCAGAGCAATTGGCGCGAGATTTAAAATGGAATATACAAATCGTTCCGGAGTAGCGGTACAAGCGGAAATTTCTTGACAGTTGTAACAATTTTAGCTACATTAAATCTCATTTTCTCTTTAAACAAAGAAATGATCCATTAAAATTAAATAATGCATCAATCAGAATTCAAATTTTCAATTGTGAGTGAAGTAAACCATTTTGAAACAAAAGTATCTTGATTTTTTAATCGAGTTTATTTAAGGGCGTTTTCTACTTTCTACTTTCAGTTGAGGAAGTTTAACCCATATTCATGTCTGTTAAAAACGCTGTCCGACAGTAAGCGAGAACTTAACTTACAGAGACTTGTTAATTGTTTTCACATTATTACTGAATGCAATAAATAATTGAATAATTTAATAAAAACACAAAATTAAAATAAGGAAAGAATTGGCCATTCAAAATATTCCCGCCTCTTAGCAAAAATGTTTATACACGGCAGAATTTGAAAATAAAATAAACATGAAACTGTAATGCATAATTCAAAACTAGGTTGTTTGATAAAACAAATCCGGCAAACATATTTTCGTATGAATATATCATTCCTCGCATCGCGCCGCTTCAGTTTGCGAGTATTTCTCTATTTAGAGGGGAAATGTGAGCGCAGTCAGGGGAAGTTGCCCGTGCTCCCAGGAGCGTCTGGCTTCCCAAGCGGCCAAGTAGCTCGTGCGGACGCAGTTTCACGTGCCTTGTCTTCTGAATCGCATTACGTTGCCTTGACCAATGACTGAATCAATGAGAGACAGCCACACAGCACTTTCGATACACAAAACAATAGTTAGATCCCACCATACGCATACTCAGTATGGACAATCCAACCTAAATAATAATCCAAATTATCCAAAATCAAAATATTAGGACAGTAGCACATCCATCATGGTTCATATCAAATAAACAAATACACTAATAATTAATTAACTTCGAACCCATAATCCAGTGCAACATATACATATCCACACGTTTGTAATCTAACTTCATGCCAACACCAAATCTAACAGGATCGAATCTCGGTAGAAACACCAAACTCACAAGAATAAAAAATAAATAGTACTCATTATATATAATTAGGATAACTTTCAGAGAAGAATATATATATATATATATATAT